AAGTACGTGGCGGGGAGGGCGCTGCGGACGGCGAACCTGAGAGAATGATAGAGAATTATTGCAAGGAAGTTAACGAAAGGGGGGCAGACGGGAACGATGGGAACACGAGGAAGCCGAGGATGGAGTAGCAGAAAGCTACCTAAACAGCAAAAGTGATAAGGAGAGGAGGAAGATGAAAGAAGGGTCGGAAAGAGGGGGTTCCTCCTTCCTCTTTTCGTTTAGCTGCGTGGCCGGATGGCACGGGTCCCACCGCCGAAACTAGGGCAAATCGATGCCGAGCGGGCTCACTGTGGAACAAGGTCGCATGGAGGTCAGGCAGCACAGCTCGCCTCAGCCTCACTCTCCTCGCTGATTCCGCGCTGCATTAGTGTCAACATTGTTCCAATCAACGCGGCCCAGCGTTCGCTGCCGTTCTCTGACGTCAGCAGTGGGCGCGCGCGCGCGCTCCGGCAGGTCTGGAGCACCGCCGCGCCATCTGCAGGAACATGCTTTAATTTTCCCGAGGAGCATTTTGTTTGCTCTGCAGCACTGGAAGCGTTAGAATTTTTTTTAGCATATCTCTAGACGACGCCATATATCTGACAGCAATCAGCCACGGCTTAATTATACGAACGAACAATGCATTTGGCACACACATTTTTTTAAAAGATGATAGTCTTTCTTGGGAAACTTGAACGCAGCTGTCTGTCTGTCTGTCTGTCTGTCTGTCTGTCTGTCTGTCTGTCTGTCTGTCTGTCTGTCTGTCTGTCTGTCTGTCTGTCTGTCACACAATTCAGCCACCCCGCCAAAGTTTAAGCACTAGCTGAACACCCAGCTATCTTGAACTGGTGGCTGCGTTCACCCTTGCGAACATTGTCAACAAAAAACGCAAATATTACGCATATAAGAGGAGCAACATCAATACGTAAGTATTAGGTTGTGCGTTACATTACTTTATATATATATATATATATATATATATATATATATATATATATATATATATATATATATATATATATATCTATCTATCTATATATATATATATATATATATATATATATATATATATATATATATATATATATATATATATATATATATATATATATATATATATATATATATATATATATATATATATATATATATATATATAAAGACGCTGGTGTTTATTAGGCTGCGCTGAAATGCGACGCTATGTTTTGTGCGATTATAATCATTCTAATCGCATACCCGCGAGATGCGGACATACTTATTGAAGCAAGGTGTCGGTCCGGGTTAGTTGGTATTCAAAATTTACCTTGCGTACAGCGCAGAAAAATGCGAACAAACAAGCAACCGAGAAACATGAGCGCTACCTTCGACTAGCGAGTGCTCGTTTTTGTCGGGGATTTGTCCCTTCTTTTGCATCAGCTACACAAGTTAAACACATCCATCGATTGGATTGCATTAGTCAAGCTTAGTTAGTTAATGTGACCCTCAGTGTGAGAATATGGCATATGAGAGTTAACTATCACAAGTCAAGCACATTAGATCACAGCTTACGTAAACACGCTAAAAGAGGCACCTGGTGAGAACATTGTGCATACTATTCCAAGTACTGAACTGATACCCAGAACAAACTCGCCTATTGCGAAGTCATTTTACTAAATATCGTGACATGCGGTCTTTCGATTTTGAAAGACAGGTGAATTGTTGAGTGCTTAAACATGTATGTATCCGGCTCAGTCATGGTAATTTTATTCGGCACTTGTTAAAGCTTAACGATCTTGGTGTATCAGCATATATCCCTGATAAAGATGAAGTGATATCTAATCCCTAACGCTTCGCCGCTGTTGACGTAATTGTAACAAACACAATCTGAAGGATCTCCGTACCAACATGGTGTTATCTATGCTGCGCACTTCTTACTGAAAAATATTTGTAAACAAAGTGGCGCACCCAAGGCTTGTCTCAGCAGGTTTATAACACAAAGGAAAGAAAACAAAGGAGCATAATTACGTTACGAAGCCAGACTTAGCAAGCTAACGCGCTTTGAAGCCAGTGTTGGCCCAAAAAGCGTTCTTCTGCGATGATGTCACGCAATAAACTAGCTTTGCCGGGACTTCGGTCTATAGTGCCCGGTAGTATTTAGTCGATTGCGCTTGCTAGGCGCACTTAGGCCGGCTCCCTGGGGAGGTTCAAAGATTGAACACCATCAGCAGCACTATAAGACGACCCAAGAGCTCAGGCGTCTTCACTATGTTTACGGCCGACGCAGTAGGCGTCATTCACATTTCGCTACACTCCCTCCTCTTTTCTTCCTTCTTCGATGGTGTAAACCTGCTTGAACGTTGAAGAGCAATCATTGCTGTTGCATCAAAGCTGAATAATCAAGCATTGCTCACTGATTGTAATTTGACTCGTTCGCTCAATGACGGTAGAGAGAAGCAGCTGAAAACGGAACTATACGGGCTGGTATGGAGGGATGAAATGAGAACAGTGCGGATGCGCTCAGTGTCAGGAGAGACTCAGTCGT